CCAAGCATCAAACAAGCACTTGATGCAGCGAAACTATTAAAAAAATACTTTTTATATAATCAAATTGATCCAGCAGTATCTCAAGATATGAGTAAGATACGTAACAAAATACAATTAAAATATTGGAGCAGCAAAAAACATCAGACGAAGATAACAGGCTATACGCAATGTATGAATAATAATGTTCGTGTGCAAAATGTGTACTATATTAGTAAATGCACATTATTATAGAATAGTAAAATAATATCTTTTATTTCTCTCCATTTAATGACCACTCCTTATAACGCCGAAAAATGTTCAGACCCTTAAGTGTCGTTATATAGAGTTTACACTGTATTTTAAACCCTATTAACTCTACCAAATTTGTTAATGAGTAAGTAATACATTTAATTCATCAATTGCATTTATACGATATCCTACATGACCAACATTGAAAACCTTCCCCCAAGGCCCCAGAACCTTATATGTAATTGTAAATACTCTAAAAATTATTAGCTTTACCAAAATCAAATTATTGAGTGGACAGTTTGAGTTCGCATTAAAAAAAAAAAAAGAAATAGTAGGGCACAAGATATAGGCTGATGAAGTACAGGCGGATGCTTTAAACATAAAGGTCAAAAGGTTAGAGATCATTTATCTTAAGAAACAGAATCATATATCAATTAGTGATAGGTTAGATTGGTCGCTAAGACATCTTCTCAGACACGAAAGGCCAGTTAGAGACATATTAGAAGCAGAAACAGGAGTTAACAGTTAATGTGAAAATTCATACCTACTACAAACTAAGGTAAAAGGCCCAGTTTCTGACACTCTAAGAGTGACAGCTGAGATTATATTACGAGAAATAAAATAATATTTAATTAGAATAAATAATTTTTATACTATAAACAAGTTCAGAGTTTCTAGAAAAACTCATATACGCGATATAATTATTTGAAGCGAATTAGTTATTTTAATTAATGATTTAAAAAGTGATGTTTGAAGACCCAGTTTCTGACACTTAAAATTTCTTGTGTTGTAGTTTCTGACACTGCCATCGGCCTAGTTTCTGACACTCATA